GAAAATACATTCGCAAACACACAATTAAACAGCACATACATACAAAGCACACAAGCACGCGTAATCCCATACGCAAAACACCCCAAAACAAACACAAACACAAACAAAGACAAGATCACACGAAAACCCATACGCAAGAACATTACCCATAAACGAAAACAAAAACAAACAAGATGCAAAACAAACACAAACAAGTACACCCAAAACCCACACGCAAGCAGAACACACCTATAACCAAATACAAACACAAACAAAAACAATCACACAAACAAACACTCATAACCAAAATCAAGTACACAAACAAGCACACCCAAACAAACACCCATAACTAAAAATAAACATAATCACACATCAACAACCAAAAACAAACACAAACAAAGACATACCCATAACCAAAATCAAGCACACAAACAAACACACCCAAACAAACACCCATAACCAAAAACAAGCAAACAAACACACACCCACAACCAAAAACAAACACAAACAAACAAAAACACACCCATAACAAAAAAAAACAGGCACATAAACAAACACCCATAACCAAAAACAAACACAGAAGCACCCAACCCTGTTTTGTAACCAAACTGTAAATAGTTTATTACTAGTTTATGAAATCAAGAATACGAAGCTTAGGCCACATTTTCGGTATTGTTGTCTTATGTATATCACATAAACACAGGCTCTCTGCTTTAAAGCCTCACCTCCGCGTCTTCCACGACGATCCAGTGCAAATTCGGGACAAGCATCAGAGTTTGTGACATCCGGGTCATGTCAGCCATCTGCGTGTTGCGTCTGTACGTGGGTGTGATCACATACAAGGGCGGCCAGGCTGTGGGCGTGGGAGGAGAGAGAGAGAAAGGGTGGGGGGAGGTGTCAAAACCGGTTTTTCTTTTATTGTTTTTGTTGTTGGTGTGTTGTTATAGGTATTGTCATTGTTGTTGTTATTATTGTTGTTATTATCAGCATCGTTGATATTGTGACTATTGTTATTATCATTAATATCATTATTATTATCATTAATATCATTATTATTATCATTAAAATCATTATTATTATCATCGTCACTATCATTATTATTATTATCATTAATATCATTATCATTTTCATTATCATTATCATCATTATTATCATTTATATCATCAATATTATTATATTTTTTTGTTGTTGTTACCATCGTCATCCTCATCGCTATTACCATCATTATTGCTATCATCATCATATTCGATATCATTATTATTAGTAGTAGTAGTAGCAGTAGTAGTAGTATTGTTATTATTGTTGTTGTTATCATTATCATTATTATCATTATTATTATCATTACTATTATTATTATCATTATTACTGTCATTGCTATAATGATCATCTTTATAATCATCATTCTTATCCATATCATTACTATTATTAGTATTATACTTATAACTATGACCATTATTATCATAACTGTTATAATTTGTTTTTATCATTAGCATTATTACTACTATTATTATCATCATTATCCTCGTTATTGTCATTCTATTATTATTATCATCATTAATATTAATATTATAATAACAATTATCGTTATCATCATCATCATTATTATCATTATAATCATCATCCTTATCATCATTATCACTACATTATTATCATAATTAATGGTAGTATTATTGGTAGCAATTATTCTTTCATCATCATTATTACTGATTCAAGTTTTCACCAATCACCATTATCGAAAGTACTGTTTCTTTTCTGTGATTAAATGTTAAACCAGGAATGATATCGACAAAGAATATTTGTTATAGTAGATACTGAAATCCCGATTTTCCCATAGTTGTTGCATTAATCATGTGTGTGTAAATGCATATACACACATACACACACACGTATATATATAATGTGTATACATACATACATACATATGTGTGCATATATATATATATATATATATATATATATATATATATATATATATATATATATATATATATATAAATATATATATATATATATATATATATATATATATATATATATATATATATATATATAAATATATATATATATATATATATATATATATATATATATATATATATATATATATATATATGTATGTATGTGCATATACATGTATATACACATGTATATATGTATATGTGTGTATATATATATATACATATATATATATATATATATATATATATATATATATATATATACATATATATATATATATATATATATATATATATATATATATATATATATATATAAATATATATATATATGTATATATATATATATATATATATATATATATATATATATATACATATATATATACACACGTGTATACGTATGTGTAAATATATATACATATATATATATATATATATATATATATATATATATATATATATATATATATATATATATTTATTTATTTATATATATATGTGTGTGTGTGTGTATATATGTGCATATATAAGTATATACACATGTGTATATGTATATGTGT